AGATAGTTGTGCTCTGTATATGTAGACAGTGCTCTGTATATGTAGATAGTTGTGCTCTGTATATGTAGACAGTGCTCTGTATATGTAGATAGTTGTGCTGTGTATATGTAGATAGTTGTGCTCTGTATATGTAGATAGTTGTGCTCTGTATATGTAGATAGTTGTGCTCTGTATATGTAGACAGTGCTCTGTATATGTAGATAGTTGTGCTCTGTATATGTAGACAGTGCTCTGTATATGTAGATAGTTGTGCTGTGTATATGTAGATAGTTGTGCTCTGTATATGTAGATAGTTGTGCTCTGTATATGTAGATAGTTGTGCTCTGTATATGTAGATAGTTGTGCTCTGTATATGTAGACAGTGCTCTGTATATGTAGATAGTTGTGCTCTGTATATGTAGATAGTTGTTCTCTGTATTTGTAGATAGTTGTGCTCTGTATATGTAGATAGTTGTGCTCTGTATATGTAGATAGTTGTGCTCTGTATATGTAGATAGTTGTGCTCTGTATATGTAGATAGTTGTGCTCTGTATATGTAGATAGTTGTGCTCTGTATATGTAGATAGTTGTTCTCTGTATTTGTAGATAGTTGTGCTCTGTATATGTAGATAGTTGTGCTCTGTATATGTAGATAGTTGTGCTCTGTATATGTAGATAGTTGTGCTCTGTATATGTAGATAGTTGTGCTCTGTATATGTAGATAGTTGTGCTCTGTATATGTAGATAGTTGTGCTCTGTATATGTAGATAGTTGTTCTCTGTATTTGTAGATAGTTGTGCTCTGTATATGTAGATAGTTGTGCTCTGTATATGTAGATAGTTGTGCTCTGTATATGTAGATAGTTGTTCTCTGTATATCTAGATAGTTGTGCTCTCTAGATGTAGATAGTTGTGCTCTGTAGCTGTAGATAGTTGTGCTCTGTATAGCAGGAGATTCACTATAAGTGGGACACCAGTAATTATAGCCTCCAGCCAGGAAGTAAACTATGACGCACACTCAGACATAAACACCTCGTCTGTTTGTTCACGTGACGGTAGCCTGTGTAGAGTTTGTTTACAGCCTGTACTTAATGTGTATGGATGTGCATCTTTGAGAACTGCAAGTCCTGCGTTAGAAGACACATTTTAGTGTAAATACATTGCAAGCGATTCCATGGCATTTGGTTAACTAACCAAGCATCATATGTTGCCTTCATGTTAAGAAAGGGGGATTACTGCTTCCCGACTGACTGATAACAGGATGGGTGGGGCGTGTGTTGCATTATTGTCACTGAGTTCGTTTAGTTGTCACAAGATTTTTCATGGTAATGATTAGATAACCAGTCTGTGGATTTAATTCATAATTGTGCCAGGATCACCCAAACCCTCTTTGCTGCATTTTTTATTTTAATCTGTAAATAATAATAATTATAATTATGTGACTGTCCAACACATTGTGAGTCGATGCCCAGCTTTGGCACAGACACAGTATCTAAAGCGACATGATAGGGTGGCTGATCATTTTCTTACCGTCTTCGCCATGCTTGTGGTCAATCCATGGTACGACCCAGAATATGTAGAGTGCGTCATGTAAAATGACGAATACAAAATTCTTGCGAATAGGCCCGTAAACAGCTTCAGATGTATCCATGCAAACGAACCTGATCTTGTCCTTTATGATAATCCAATGAAATCATATATATTATTGAATTTTCGGTCCCTTTCTGACACTAATGTGATTAACAAGATACAGGGAAAAGATGGCAAATATGCAGACCCCGCTTTCGAAATGTCACGCTTGCATCCCAAATACGAAGTTGTCCGACTCAAAGACTGGAGCAACATATGAGAAATGACTCATTGTTTTGCGTTTCTGACCTAATTCGCGAACACCTGAAGGCATTTCTGATTTTCAGTTGTCAATTCATATAACTTCTACGGGTACATTGCCTTTTATGCCCAATGAAATCCATTTCAGGGCATAATCCAGACGGAATATATTCTGGTGGTGACGTTTTATTTTCGTTATAAACCTGAAAAACTGATGTGTACACTTTGCGTAATTCAGTTACGCCACGCTGATTTACACATTCTGCACATCGCCTATTATACTTCCCAAAACTGAAAGCATACCGTAGTAACAACTGACAAGGAGGACATAATACTATTGTCTTATCGGGGTCACACACATGTACAGACTTTTGATTCAAGTGAAGATGTGTACTTCCTGAAATTACATCAGTGTTGAACTGACATAGCCGGTATTGTTATCTCGACAGCCCACACAGTCGTCAAACAACCACAAGAGGATATCTAAGGGGCCGCTGGTGACGGTAAGTGATGTCGTAGTTGTTTCGTCATGTAGTTTTCACTCTCTGCGTGATACGGTTGATATTGATGCCGTGATTTTCTGAATTGCTACATAACATGTTAATATACAGTCAGTCGTTTAGTATGCTGGGATTGGTTAACCCTATGAATTTCATTGAATGTGGTTATATAGCATGTTAATATACAGTTAGCCGTTTAGTATGTTCGGATTCGTCAACCCTATGAATGGCTGAATGTAGTTATATAACATGTTAATATTCAGTTAGCCGTTTAGTATGCTTGGATACGTTAACTCTATGAATGGTTGAATGTGGTTATATAACATGATAATATACAGTCAGCCGTTTAGTATGCATGGATACGTTAACTCTATGAATGGCTGAATGTAGTTATAAAGCATGTTAATATACAGTCAGCCGTTTAGTATGCATCGATACGTTAACTCTATGAATGGTTGAATGTGGTTATATAGCACGTTAATATACAGTTAGCCGTTTAGTATGCTTGGATACGTTAACTCTATGAATGGCTGAATGTGGTTAGATAGCATTTAAAAATAAAGTTAGCCGTTTAGTATGCTTGGATGCGTTAACTCTATGAATGGCTGAATGTGGTTATATAGCATGTTAATATACAGTTAGCCGTTTAGTATGCTTGGATGCGTTAAGTCTATGAATGGCTCAATGTGGTTATGTAGTATGTTAATATACAGGTAGCCGTTTAGTATGCTTGGAATCGTTAACTCTATGAATGGCTGAATGTGGTTATATAGCATGTTAATATACAGTAAGCAGTTTAGTATGCTTGGAATCGTTAACTCTATGAATGGCTGAATGTGGTAATATAGCATGTAAATATACAGTTAGCCGTTTAGTATGCTTGGAATCGTTAACATTATTAATTGTCTCACCTGCATTCACTCCTCTCCCCATTATAAGAGTGAGTGAGTGAGTGAGGTTTTACGCCGCTTGTAGCAATATTCCAGCAATATCATGGCCGGGCACGGCACTCGTGAAGAGCAACCTCCTCGTGGTGAGTGCTGGGTAACGCTAATCGCTCTTCCCCCGTGTGGAACCGGGGCAGAATATTTCCACAGCCTCCCATTGCTGGTCGTATGAGGCGACTAAAATGGGCAACCTGTTTGCCGTGGGTTGCGTCCCTGTGTCGGCGGAGGACGGGAGTCTGGTAGTTGAGGGCACTGGATCCTGGAACTGTGTTCCTTTGCCCAACACACTACTTCGACCCTTACTTCGCCTAGACGGGTGGTAAGATGGGCCCGGTCTTATCAATCGGCTGGTCATGCCAGGCCCTGTGCGTAATATTGTATATGCACACCTGTGTTGTATTTTACTATATATTTTGGTCTTGGCCATGCATACCTTGTGTATGTTCTCAATTTTGGATTGTATACATTGCCTAGAGTCTTACGCCAGAAGGCGGTGGCTCATGGGCCAATCTGGTACTTTCGACCTCTGAGTTCTGTATGTCTTCAATTTCTTGCCATGGGCCGAACCAGCCTGACATTTTATTTGATAGACAAATACAGCTATTCATGTTGTTCTTACTGGAGTATAACACCTCTGTATCCCTGATGTTTGCATGTTGGAGATCCGGTGCAATAAAACATCGCTCTTTGTAGCACTCCATGGTGGGTGGGGAGCAGGGGTGCTGAATCAATTACTTTCACCATGGCTCACAATCACTCTGGTTCGAACCGCAATGAAAAGAAGAGACGTTTGGAAACTGAGATTTTATCATCTGATGATGATGCTTCTCTCATACCAAATAATAATTCTTGGGCACGTTTTTTGGTAGTTGAATCCAGAAATGAATTACCACTAAAAATAAATCCTTTTGCCATATCTAAAGCCATTGCAGGTATTTGTGGTGAAGTTAAGAATGTTTCACGGCTCCGGGGCGGTTCTCTTTTGGTAGAGTGTGCACGGAGACAGCAAGCTGTCAATCTTTTGAAATGTACTACATTTGCAAACACTGAAGTTGCTGTCTCTGCGCACAGAACGTTGAACTCGAGTCGGGGGATCATCCGCGACAGAGGCCGTTGTCTGGCGGAAATGAATGAAGATGATATTCTTGACGAACTCAAAGATCAACATGTCACTTCAGTGAAACGGTTTACTCGAAAGGACGGAGAAAACATTATCAAAACAAATACTTATTTGTTCACATTTGCACTGTCGACTATACCACAATCAATTAAGGCAGGCTATTTCAACATCGGAGTGGAGGTGTATGTCCCCAATCCACTCCGATGTTACCAGTGTCAGAAGTTTGGGCATGGCTCCAAATCATGCGATCGGCCGATTGTTTGTCACCGTTGTGGTGCAAATCATGACGCCTCAGATTGTACAGCTGACCCCAAATGTGCTAATTGTATGGGTAAACATGTTGCGTCTTCGAAATCCTGTCCTCTTTGGAATCATGAAAAGGAAATCTTAACTGTCAAATGTAAAAACAACATTTCTTTTCAGGAGGCTAAAAAAGTCGTTGCCAGCCGGTCACCTCCATCAGCGCACACCTATGCTGCTGCTGTCTCTCGACCTTCTACCACAAGATCTATAGAATGTCAAACTGACTTGACATGGACACACTCTGAACACCCTGTGCCTATGGTTACAACATCAGAGAGTCAGACCAATGATTCCGATAGTCAATCATGTGACATCTCTTCAGCATCTCAGGTTGTGACTCAGACTATGGCCCCACCTAAACCAACTCCTGAATTACCAGCACCTAACAAACCATCGCCTGAAATGCCCAAAAAACAAAAGAAGAAACAAAACAAGAAAATTTCTACTAAGATCCCTACTCTCAGTGAAACATCTGTAGATGTTCACAATTACTTTGATCCTCTCGAGATGGATGTTACTCCATCTTCCATGAGTGGTGACTCTTCTTCACGTTCACGTGAGCGATCTCCTATAGAACCGCCATGAACCATTCAAATATATTTCAATGGAATTGCAGAGGACTTAGGCATAATTTTCACGAATTGCAATTATTAACAACAGATTTAAGTCCATCAGCAATTTGTTTACAAGAGACGTACCTAAAACATACAGATAAATTTGAATTACGGCAGTATAGTTCCTTTCATTCTTTTTCTCCCCTGGGTGATAAAGCTACTGGAGGAGCTACTATTTTGGTGCGGCGGGGCGTTGTTCACAGTCCTGTTCCGCTTGACACAAATCTGCAAGCAGTTGCAGTTAGACTTACACTGCATATTGCCTTGACACTTTGCTCCTTATACATTCCACCTTCTTCAAATCTTCAGCGTAATGATCTACAAAAACTATACGATCAGCTCCCAAAGCCCTGTGTTATCATGGGTGATCTAAATGGGCATAATCCTTTATGGGGAAGTGCAATCATTAATCAAAAGGGAAAAGTGATCGAGGATTTTGTTTCCGATAATGATCTCTGCATCTTTAATGATGACTCCGATACGTATTTACACCCTGCTACTGGCACGTATTCATCTCTCGATCTGTCTCTGACAGATTCAGTTTTGTTACACGAATTTTCCTGGTCAGTCCACGATGACCTGTGTGGAAGTGACCATTTCCCCACTGTACTTAAACCCATTAATCCCGCTGATGATCCACCTTCACCTCGATGGAATTTTATGAAGGCTGATTGGACTTTATTTCAGTCTTTATGCAAAGATAAATTGCAACCTACGTCTTTTCAGAATGTTACTGACCCGATTCAGTTGTTCTCAGATCAACTGAATACAATTGCTGATGAATCAATTCCTAAGTCCTCCGTCAACCCACGTGTTCGTAAACCATGGTTTGATGACACTTGCAAACAAGCTAGGAAATGTCGTAAGAAGGCGGAGAAATACTTCCGTAAACATCCCACTGTCCATAATTTAAACACTGTCAAAATTTCAAATGCTAAGGCAAGATGTCTATTTAAGCAAAATAAACGTCTGTCATGGAGAAACTATGTCTCCAAAATAAACACTCGTACCCCTATGTCCAAGGTATGGAACATGATTAAAAAGATCAAAGGCAAGGGATCAAATTCTACAGTTCACCATCTGAAGGATGGCGATACTTTACTAACTGATAAAACTGCTATTGCCAATAGACTTGGGAAAACATTATCTCAACATTCGTCTTCATCTAATTACGTTCCCGAATTTCAAAAATATCAGCTCCAACAGGAAAAGAAAAAAGTAAATTTTACATCTGATAATGGTGAAGATTACAATGAGGTATTTTCACTACATGAGCTTTATACTGCCCTAGGGCAAGCTCATGATACAGCAGCAGGCGCTGATAATATTCATTATCAGCTACTGAAACACTTGCCCGAATCATGCCTTGAAACTTTGTTGACTATTTTCGATGACATTTGGACAACAGGGACGTTTCCACCTTCATGGCATAATGCCATTGTTATACCAATACCAAAACCTGGGCGGGATCATAATGATCCTTCAAATTACCGACCTATCTCTCTAACTAGCTGTGTTTGTAAAACGATGGAACGCATGGTAAATAATCGATTAGTGTGGTACTTGGAAACAAATAATCTTCTTACCAATATACAATGCGGTTTCCGGAAAAACAGAAGTACTATCGATCATTTAGTGCGTTTAGAATCGTTTATTAAAAATTCCATTGTAAATAGACAACATGCTGTATCGATCTTTTTCGATTTAGAAAAAGCATACGATACAACATGGAAACATGGTATTTTAAAAGATCTTCATGATTTTGGATTAAGAGGCCGTTTGCCTCATTTCATATCACAGTTTTTAACAGACAGGCAATTTCAAGTTCGAGTGGGTACAACCCTGTCTGATCATTATAATCAGGATCAGGGTGTCCCACAAGGCAGTATTTTGTCTGTCACTTTATTCAGTATAAAAATTAACAGTTTGTCCAAAGTTTTAAATGATTCAGTTGATGGATCACTTTTTGTGGATGATTTTAATCTATCTTGTCGTGGTAAAAATATGCGCACAATAGAAAGGCAATTACAATTATGTCTTAATAAAATTAACAAGTGGTGTCTAGAAAACGGGTTTAAATTTTCCAAATCAAAAACTAATTGCATACATTTCTACCGAAAATATAAACCGCATATGGACCCTGAACTATTTCTGAATGGCACCCCTATCAAAGTTGTTAAGGAAGCCAAGTTCTTGGGACTTATTTTTGATCATCACTTAACTTTCCTCCCGCATATTAAATACCTAAAAGCTAAATGCCTGAAGGCACTCGATCTATTGAAAGTTGTTTCTAATTCAAAGTGGGGAGGGGATCAAACAACCCTCTTACACTTATACAGGTCACTCATCCGTTCAAAACTTGATTATGGCTCCATCGTCTATGGCGGAGCCTGTAAAAGCAATTTAAAAAAACTTGATACGATACATCATCAGGGCCTGAGGCTTTGCCTTGGTGCCTTCAGGACGTCTCCAATTCACAGTCTATATGTAGAAGCGGATGAACCTTCTCTTAAACAACGCCGTCTAAAATTATCTTTACAATATGTCACTAAATTATATTCTAATCAGTCCAATCCAGCTTTTAATTGCGTCTTCAATCCTCTTTACCAAGATATTTACAATAAAAAGTCATCTCTTGTTCCACCACTCGGAATCAGAATCCAGTCTGCCTTGTTTGCTTCCAATATTAAACTGCAAGATATAGCTCCAACTCAACTGTTTTCAACACCTCCTTGGCAAATGGTACGGCCAGAGGTTGACCTTACATTAACAAAACTAAAGAAATCAGACACTAACGAATTAATTTACCAACAAGAATACAGTCAATTAAGAACCAATTATGACACTTATAAATCTATCTTTACAGATGGATCCAAGGATGGTGGCGCAGTTGCTAGTGCCACCGTCATTGGATCCAGAACAATATCTTCACGTTTACCTGATAACAGTTCCATCTTCACTGCTGAAGCAAACGCCATTTTTACAGCACTTAAATATATCAGTAATCAAGCTAAACATAAACAATTCATACTGTTTTCAGATTCTCTTTCATGCCTTCAGGCGATTAAAAATATGTCATCAAAACATCCACTTTTAATCGAAATTCTCGAATTATTTAATGATCTTGCTACTGGCCAATATGACATCGTCTTTTGTTGGTTACCAAGCCATGTTGGTATCAAAGGTAACACAATGGCCGATGCTGCTGCAAAAGCAGCCCTCAACAAATCTGTGACACCACTTCTGATCCCATACACTGATTTTAAACCCATGATTCGATCTTACATCCGAGATCTTATGCAACAGAAGTGGGACGCCCAAGTAGGTATCAATAAATTACATGAAATTAAACCAAATATCGGTTACACCTACTTGGGCTGTCAGTCCAGATTTGAAGAGGTCATTATGCGACGATGTCGTATTGGCCATTCAAGATATACACATGAGTATCTTTTAAATGGTGAGGATCCTCCGTTTTGCATCCCTTGTGATGAAAGAATCACAGTCAAGCATGTCCTGCTTGATTGTATTGATTTTTCCATCACAAGGGATAAATATTTCAATGTTAAAACAATTAAGGACCTTTTTAATGATGTTAATTCTCGTTTACTGTTATGTTTTTTAAAAGAAATAGAGCTTTTTCATAAATTTTGATGTGCTAACTGTATTGTTTTTAAAATTGGTAGTGCAATTTAATAACTTAGATTGTTAGTGGCTATACCCTCGAGGGGGGTTGAAGTAGCGTAAAATTATTGTCCCCCTAAGAGGGTATGTAAGTCCCATTTCATTCCAGGTATGTTTCTGCATACCAGGCTTTTAAACGTAGTATATTCGTTATTTTAATCTAAGGCTTAACTGATACACTGTCGTCAGTGACTGAAGGGATGATATAAATCCTGCCGGGGTCCGTGCAGGAAGCTAAGGTACTGTAAGTCCCCATGGTCCCCAGTATGGTGATCTCCTTTCAGTGGCTGACGATTTCTAGCCCATTTTTATATTGTGATGTTCATTACTGCTTACTGTTTTTATTATTCACAACTAGTTTTAAATCAAGTCTGTGATATTCTAGTTATTCTACTGTCCTTCGTCGACAGGTTTTTATTTCGTATAATTATGTGTATTATTAATGTACTTCTCGTCACGATATGGCTGAAATACTGCCGATGTGACGTTAAATCTTACCTCACTCACTCACTCACTCATGGCCGGGCACACCAGAAATGGGTTTCACACATTGTACCCATGTCGGGAATCGAACCCTGGTCTTTGGCGTGACGAGCGAACGCTTTAACCACTAGGCTACCCGACCGCCCCCCATTATAAGATGTTCTAAAGGTAACAGAACATGATTCCAAATGTACTCTGAAAACAATCAAAAGCATCTTCCACATTTCCGCCTTCAATGATTGTATATAAAGTATCTGCTGGGGGATTTTAATCGAATTCCAAAAATTATTATAGTGAGTTCCATCTTCTTTCAAGACGTATCTAGGTCGATCAGCTGTCATGTTACTAACAAGAGTATAGGTGATTGGTAAATAGGTAGAGTCTACCTCGCTGGATATATCAAACTATGAAAACCTAGGAAAACAATTAGGATAACACAAAACATAGTCAGTCCACTACACTCTGGTCATCATTGTCTAAAAAAGTGATTTTCCCGACATGTTTTCTTAACATTTCGTTTGATACCTTTGACATTCCACATGACAAAGTTCACAACACTTGAAGTAAGTGTAGAACTTTGGCCACTTTCATATTTCTTGGAGGCGTTGTTGTCCCGTTGTTTCCATGGCAACGACTATATTAGATGTAGGTCATCTTCACCAGCATTCAGCTGGTACAGTATATTTTCACTTTGCAACTTGTCAAAGTGTTCATTAACAAATATATTGTCGTTCCTCCCATTATCCATAAAAGCTTTCAACTTCTTTCGGATTTGACGAACTGCATCAGTAAATCGTGTGAAAT